GGGGGGACACCAGACTGCTATGAAGGGATCAACTTAAATTATTTTTTCATGTCATATGATTGAATACACCATAACTTTATGGTTTACATTTTTGACAGGGAAGCTGTAAGCAACAAAAACACGTTCACACCCACAATCACAAAACAAAGATTTTAAGAACATTTTAACATTTATGATGTACCGCAGAGGCAGACAATAAAGAGGCTCTTGATAAAAATTATTTACATAGCAGCTTAAAATTCATCGGTACAAAAACAAACCATACCTACCGGAGAAGGAATTTGAAATACAAATCCTATTGTTGTTGATTTTTTGAGACATATCAAGACAATAATCAATATCAGACGTAATCAATTTTATCTTATGTAGTGAAGAAAAAAAGGCAGAGAACTATGCTTAAAAAATTAGAAGCTGAACCAACAGCTAATTAATGAGGCATCAATTTCATGGACATGGACCTCATTTAAGACAATTTTATATTTTCAGTGGTTTGGTCAAAGTAGAGATCAATTTTTGCTGAAGTATACGAAAATAAAATTGGTGCTTTTTAAAAACTAGTGGAACCTGATATAAAAAGGGTTTCCACGTTAGAAATCAATATGCTCTCTCTAAATTGATCAGGAACTGATTGACAGAAGGAAAAGAAGCAGAATCAATCTTGCGGAAGGCTTCTTTTCCCGATTATTAATTACTTACTCTTTGAGCATAGAAAAACATTACCTACTAATTAAGTAATTGAAGACACAACATTGTACAGGGAATGAAAAACCTAGTCAGAATCAGAGCCGTCATATTTGATCCCTTTCTTGTTCCTGAAGAATGTGGATAGATTTTTCGTATCAGAAACTTCATTTGCCTCGAAGACATATGGATACTCCAATTTTTCTGGTAGATGTAACAAGTCCGCGAGAAACTTCTTTTTGTCAGCTTCATCATTACTCTTCAACATTACAGGCACCAATGAGAGAAGAAAGTCAAGCTTCCTGTCAGGGTGATTTAAGGCAAAAGCAAAGAGAGATTTCATTTCTGCATCATCTGAGCCCACAGTGTGGCAACCATGCTGTATCATTGTGTGCAAACACTGGGCAGCTTTGTTCCATTCGTGCTTTAGCATGAAATGACACATAGCGGATGACAACTCTTTGCCGCTCATCGAAGGAATGGTTTCTTGACAAGTGACTTTATCATAATTGCTTTTACACATACGCATTACTTTTTTCATGGATTCCTCTGAGGGGGTAATTGGGTACATTTGAGAAGTGTTCTTTTTCTGTTTTCCTTTCTCACTGCCTAATGGCTTGCCTGTGATTTTGCTAATGGCTAAGTGTAAGAAACGGCGCTTCTTAAAAACGACAGTTTGATTCAACTTCCGAATTTTATGCATTCTTTTTTGATCATCTTCCAAGACAATAGGTATTCTTTTCCTGGTACTGCACTTATCATCTGGTAAAGACTGGGGCAAATGTTTCTTCTTCGATGTTTTGATGAGACTTTGATGCGGTTCTTTGTCAGAAAAAGGCAGATGTTCCGATCGGTGTTTTTCTCCTTTTTCCTTCCTTTTGAGATTTTCAACAGTTCTCACCTGAAAAAATGAAGTACACAGTAAAAACAATGACAACAACTGTGTAGAGTAAAATATTGCTTGTTTTTTTCTATTTTTCGTCGCACTCTCACCTTGTCGCTCTTCATTTTCTCATATTAATTATTACTTGCTGATTAATATTCCTTCAGTTTGTACTCGGCCATTTTGTTCTGTTAGTATATTTTATTTTTGTAGATGAACTTCCATTCGTCAATAATGTAAATTAATAAAAACAAACAATGGTTGTGAACATCTGTGACAACTTACATTTCCATTAAAAAACACTCTTTCAAGAATTACTCATGTTTATTTGGGCATATTTTACTTTTTGCATTATTATTTGACCTGGTGGCATTATTAGTTTAAATAAAAAATAAGCCTTTTCATGGCTCTTGTAAACAAAATACAGCAAAACTTTTGAACAATCCCATTAAACTTTGTACTGTATTTTCCAAAGGAAATACTTCATGCATTCTCCTTCAAAGTGGAACCTGGACTTAGGACCATGTGAAGAGCGCCGATCTCGCATCATACAAAACGAATATGAAACACACTTGTTTCCTGACATGTATATATAAATGTGGGGATGATGCCCCCTAGGTCATACACAGAAAATCTTGTAGTTGTAAAATATAGATAAGTATGTGTGTATTGAAAAAGGAGAAATAATATATTTTACCTTCCCCATGGCTGGTAAGAGGTCAATTTTTGAAGAATTTCTTTTCTAAGACCAGGATAGAATCATGAATCAACCTGGAACAGTGAAAAGGCTTAAGTTACATCTATGCAGGTTAGATTTTTAAATTCTATGCTAGGTATATTAGTATTGATAACATTTAAATAATCCGTCACATATATTGCATCATTGCAGGGATGTTACTCATCTCCTGAATATTCATCATTTGTGCACAAGCTCTATCACAAAACGCATGATGAAAATTTCTGGCTTATAGAACAGCTGTGCTCTTCATTGATGAGAATTTAGGTGGCTTATTCTTGTTCATTTGAAAGAAGCGAGAGGCCATCATATTGATGGTGAAACTGCAGGGCATGTATTTTGGTTTGAGACATTGCAGACTTCCAGCCATACATTATTTTTTAAAGGGAAAAATGCTCAATACCATTTCACAAAAACTTCCTTTTCTTTTTTCCCTATTAAAGAATAATCTATGACGATTTGAAGAAATAGCAAACGGTTCGTTCTTGTGGAATTAAAAAATAATTTGAGTGGTAGTTTTGAAACACCGCAAGTAATCTTACATTCCAGCAGTTTTGCTATCGACACCGATGGATTTCGAGTAGATATTTTATTTGCTCTACACACATAAACTTTAACTGGGTGTCAAGTTTTTTTTTCTTCATTTTGGGAAATCCTGATGAAATCCTAATTTTTCCTGATTTTCGACTTCTAAATATAATTTTTCCAAATCCTGATTTTTGCAGAGAAAAATTAAAATATTTGCGTAAGCATATGCAAAAGCAGAACTCTAGAATTTAGTTCCGAGTACTAAAAACAATTTCTCAAATCCTGATTTTACTACCGATTTTTCCTCAAACCCTGATGAAATCAGGATTAAATCTTGATTGACCTCAAATTCCTGATAGAATCGGGAAAATCCTGATGCTAGACAGCCTGTTTAATCCAAATATTTCGAAAAGTGCAGTAATTTCAATTTCATTAGAGAATGAGTTGTGGCTGCATTGAAACTTAATAATGTGTTTATCCAATATCCTTTAGTCTTGACTACACTTTAGGGCTTTCTTTATATCCATGGAACGCAATGAATTAGATTATCTGTGCTTCTACCGCTTGAGGTTACAACTACACACAGCCGCTCAAAGACCACCATAGACAAGGGATACAAGCATTCCACTGGAAGGAAGGCAAAGGCCGCAGCAGTGGACCAGAATTGGATATTATAGCAGTTCATGGCATTCCTCTGTAATTCGGATAAATAAAAGCACTCTGATTTGCTCATTAACTTATGATACAATCTAGACCGCGCATTAGGAAATTTTGGCAAGACAATACGCAAATTGGATTGCAAAGGGTGTCCAGACGATGAAATGCCAGTTTGCTTGCACCGTTGCCTGGCACCCTTTGTATATCCAGCTGTATCAACTAAGCTGAAGGCGCGTCTTTACCCTGCTTTTACCCCCCAAGCTGTCTGACCACCTCCGCCTAAAGTCGGGCCTAGTGCGCGGTCTAAATTGTGTTATAAGTCAATGGATTTGCTGGATAACATAATCACTTTCACTAAAGTAAATGCATTACTTACCTTCAGCTATGCCTCCTCACAGTAATCCTGCGACAGAGTGGTAAACCACAATAGGTGATGAATAACTTTAGGTCTCTTGAGACATACTAAAACTTCAGTTCGGAACTCAGCGGGTAAAAAAACAAGAGGTTTGGTAGAGTAATTTAGTTAAACCAGCCTGAGTAGGTACGAAAAAACTTTTTCTGATCGGAAAGGCAAAAGAAGCACTCCAGCGCAAAATCACACAACGAAAACATTCAAAACCAAAACATAAACAAAACAATATTTGAGGTTATGCACGTGCGACGACTATCATCGTCCACCATTCCGCCAAATTCACTTTCGAACCGATGACGCGGATGCCCGGGAAATTCAAAAAGAGGGCGCTGTAAAACGAAGCGAGACGGATGTGGTCACAGCCAACCAAGTGTCATCGATCGCATCGGCCGCGGCATGGGCATGGCACGAATGCCTCAGAACTCGGAAGACAGACCAAAGACACGCGAGTCCAGAAATATAATTTTTCAAAAGAGTGGAAAAACGTCCTAGCTTCCTTCTAGTTGACCATCCAAAGTACAAACGTAAAATTTGGTGAAAATAAGTATCAAGGAAAGTATACTTATTGAGTTCCTCAACGTTTCTTTGCAAAATTATGTCAGTACGAAATACAGTAAAAATATGGAAATATACGTGTTTCCGGAACTAAGGACTGACATTCGGAACGGAGATACGTGTCTTCGGCATTTCGCATTTGCCATTAAAACTCCGCCCCCCCCCCCTTTTTAACNTTTTTTTTTTTTTTTTTTTTTTTTTTTTTTTTTTTTTTTAACTAGCCCTCAGGGGCTAATCCCATTTGCTCGTGAACCAGCTTGAGCCAATCCCTAACCTATTATTCCATATTTAACCATTCCCTTACCAATCCCTATCGACCAAACTCCTTCCACCTGTAACATCTCGGTAGAAGTTCACCTTCCCCCCAGTTATCTCTGTGGAATTTCATTAATTCATTCCATACCTTATTTCTAAACGCTCTCAATTGCAGTCCCTCCCATTTCTCACAACCAAACAATGAATAATCTCTCAATCCCTTTAAGAATATCATACTGTCTACATCCCTAGCGTCATTGTATTTCAACTCTAAATTTCTGCCCTTTCTCCTATCTAATATTTCCAATAACTCCCTATCTCTTATATCAATCAGTCCCTTCCTTATCTTATCTTATATAAAAAAATAAAAACCCTGGCTTTTATCAACAATTCTATGCACAGCCAGCCTAAGGTCTCCAGCATATTAATTATTCTATTTCCCTTATCACACCCTAGTATGTATCTCATAGCCGAATTCTGTCCCTTTTGTGAATCTCTGATATCTTTACTACTTGCCTCTCCAAGCAGAGAAAGCAATTAAAGTAAAACGGTGGATGAAATGTAGTGAATCAACCCATTTCGTGTCCTTGGAGTTACAAGGTATGATGCGCCTTCACTTTAGTACGTATGCAATCTTTCAAGAAGTTGAAAGATTCGTCCGCTCTGGCGCTCTCATCAGGGTAATCAAAGGCAAGTTAGGTTTTTATTTGATGTCTTTAAGTAGGTACAGAATTTTTGAAAGTGTGAGTACGAATACAAACAATTTAAGGCCATGAATTTTGATTGTAATTGTAAGAATTTTTCTTGTATGGTTGGTTTAGAGACATTCAGACTCTTAGACTTTTAATATTTTTACAGAATTTATGAAAGTGTGAGTACGAATACCTATACTAAAATTTAAAGCCATGAATTTTGATTGTAATTGTATACATTTTTCTTGTACAATTTTTTTTTCTTCTACAGATAGGTTTAGAGACATTCAGTAACTTAGACTATTAATGTCTTTTATACAAAAATAATATTTTCTTTGTAAATATATACATGATTTTCCTTGTCGTTATATCAGTCGTGCGTACCTACGTAACCGAAAGGAAGCGCTAGCGTTCGGCGGTTGCGGCGATTGGTGGTTAGACGCGTTCGCATCTCGCCCGTTTCATTGCGTTTTCCCGCCCCGGTAAAAATTGGCGATAAGAGCTGCGTTTCAAAATACCATAGGAATTATTATAGCCGGCTAAAGAAGGCTACAGAAAATCATATAGCTGGCTGTAGAATGCGGAGAAAATCATACGGCCGGGCTATACGAAGCGATAAAAAATTATGCAGCCGAGCTATAGTTCCTATCGCCGGGCTTCACACTTTATTGCCTGGCTGTTGCTTTTTCGCCATCGATTATAAAAGGCTATAAGAAATTGTGTAGAAATCCGTGTGCTTTGGAAATCATTAAGTTTGATACGTTACCACCTTAATACGATATTTACAAAACACACGTTATATTTTCCTTCAATACATATTTTTTTTTCATCAATTAAAACGAGAATAATCCATACAGAGTGTGCAAACATTTCAAAATTATGAGTTGAAAAACGCTGACTCCGCGAGATTAAAATTAGAGCCTAACACAAGCGGAGCGGTGACGCACTGGCGCCTACAAACCTAACAGGCATACTTCACACATTGCGCAAAAGCACATTGACGCCTACAAACCTAACAGGGATACTTCACGCATTGCGCAATGCGTGAAGTAGCCCTGTAAGGTTTGTAGGCGCCAATGCGCGTTTCGCGCTGGCTGCCCGCCTGCCGCACTGCAGCGTGCCACGGCGCTTGAAGCAACTATTCCACATCAGAGGTATTGCACAGTATCATACGAAACTGAATGCGCTCTAATATATTAGGAATGGCAGGCATTCATCAAAAGTACGGAGCTTTCCTCGCAAAATAAATCAAGATACTACGGCCCAAAAAGAGAGCAGTGGGCCAAAAACTCACTAAGTCCTAGCATCCGTAATTAGCGACGTTTAGCATACACTTTATCGCCTGGCTGTGAGTTGCTTAGTCGCCATCGGGTATAGAAGGCTGTAAGAAATTATGTAGCCGGCTATAGAAGCTATTGGAAATCTTACAGCCGGCCGTAGGTCTATGGTACTTTGGAACACAGATTCTACTGCCAATTTTTACCAGGGTGGCCCGACAAGAACGACTTCTCTAAAGCTTTTGTCTCGGTACAGAGAACGTGTTGAGAAATGGAAAATCTTACCTATCGTCTTTTTGGGAGCCGGATATTTTATCGTGCTGCGGTGGACCCATGTTGTAGCAAGGAGAGGGCGAGTAGCCTCCCCCTGGAGTAGGATACGATCCGGTGGGGTAGCCACAGGAATACGGATTGGAGTACGGTGAGTAGCCATTTGTTGCATATTCACTTCCTGCCATTGGGTACCCTGGATGCGGACTCATCGTAGCGTAGCCTGACAACAAAAAATTAGTTTCTTAAGATATGAAAACACCGATGGACCACTACTAGACAAGGTACAACTTTGAGCATTCCAATTGACGTTTCTCTTTCAAAATTTCAGGAAAAACACGATTTGCGCGACGAAATTTATCGATATTAGCCTTCAACCAAGATATTAATGTTTTTATTTGAGGTTGATTACGAAAAATTTCTGAGAATTTCTCAGCTAATTTAGACCTCGATCCGATATCGGCGCGCTCTCAACTTTTTTGTGTAAAAACTGCCTGTTTATTCATGTATTTATTTTTCGATTCCTTTCTTTTTTATTTTCTAATTTAATCATTAGAAGGATTATAATCAAAGTTCATAATATCTTCATCATAGACGCAAAAGCAAGCTTAATAATGTCACTGATTGATAGTCAGTATGTTTCGACGTTTTTCAAGTATTCGGGCCCGTTTATGTCAAGGACTATGAATTTCGGACCCGTTTTTGTCCATTCTAAGGTTCCTACTCGTACTTCATTTTCCCTTTTTGACGGCAGCAAACAAATAGACTTAATGGAACAGTGAAATAATAGCTCTCATCATATCTCGGAAAAATCACGGCAGATTTGAAGGTTTTCATTTTGGTTTACCCACATAAAACGACAGTGAAAAACTTTCAAAGTCGCAAACTGAGGTATGAATGTTTTTTACTTCACCGTCGACAATGAGAAAATGTGTAACTGCGCGCGCGCTGAAGTGTAACTTCAGCGGCAGTCATGATCTTCCGCTATCAAGTCGAAACGATACTGTTGAAGGCGCTCTGAGCAACTATTTCGCCACAGAAGTATTGCACAGTATCAGATGGAATTGAAGGCGCACTAACGTGACTGAATTGACCAGTATCGTTTACCGCTGTGTGATTCCTCCTGATCTTACGATATGAAACTATGATGTTAGATGGATATTTGAGAAAATTGGTTTTAAGTGTTAGGTTGGAGATGTCGAGGGAATATTACCATTTACGTCCCGGTAGGATTCGACTAGATAGTGAGATGTGCCACTGTCGGGGGTGCTGTCTCTACTATAGGCTCCTGCGCTGGCTCCTGGTGTGCCGGCTCCGAAGACTGGTCGCGCTCCCGGTCTTCCGCTACAGACAAGCAAGGAAACAAAATATCAATCTTGACACTAAGCAGGGCAAGTACAAGTTACACGTATACGTACAAGCACATACACTGAAAAAAAAAAAAAAACACATTGGATCTAGTGTCCAGACTCCTGAAAACATTGACAAGAAAAAGGACTCTTGATTCAATCAGATTGAAGCTTACATCAAAAGGAAATCCGCTCAAATTAAGAGGCCTGGTTCTTGATTTAAGCTTCAATCTGATTGAATCAAGAGTATTTTTTCTTGTCGATGTTTTTAAGAGTCTGGACTCTAGATCCAATGTGTGTTTTTTTTTCCCAGTGTAAGTTTTAGCTGAGCTAAAGCTTATTCCTCCAAACCCCGAAACTTCCCCGTACTCCGAGCTTCTGTGTCTCTTATTTGTGAATTTGTTTGCTTTTTTTTACGTCCTCTATGTCTTGATGTTTGTTTTTGTTATACTCTCACAGTAGTAATCTATTATTTTGCGATAATTGTATCGTTTCATATTGAAGTTCCGGTTCCAGTTCGGGCGAACTCGTGTGGACAGCATGCCTCGTTTTAAGGAATAAGTCTCAGGAAACTGAGCAGTTCGTCGAATAAGTTCCTCGAACCACGCTCGTGTGGACAGGGGCTTAGGTCACACTTTTGTCAAAAATTGGTTTCCCGCAACCGTGCCGTTTTATTCTTTTAATTTGTTCCCGATTTTCCCAATTTCTATTTCGAAAAAATTCTGCTCCTCGTAGGGCTTACGATCAACTGCAACAAATCCTTTCATCATTCTATGCGATGGATCCAAAAACATGTGTCTCACCTTACGCTGAGATCCAGGGTTTGTCCTTGAGGACTAGGAACTTGAGGACTAGATGTGAGGTGAGGACTAGTTGCTGCTTGTGGACTCCCTCGCTGGCCGTAGTGAGGGCTCAGGCTGTTGGAGCCGTAGGCCGGTGCCTGTGCGGAAAGAAATATTTTTCAAAAAAATTATTAAAGAATGATTATTCAAAATATCGACAGAGATGGAGTTAACACACCACCGTTTTATTTTCCTCGGCACAGTATCATCGGTTGATAATAATTTGTCTCAGAAAATAAAACGGGATTAACTAATTTTGTTTTTTCCAACCGAAATACTTCAAAATATTAACATTTTTCAGTGGTAAAATGCAATCTTCGTAACGCCATACACCGAAAAAAATAATATGCTTTCTCAGCATCTAGGATGTCAAAAATGTGTCTGGTGATCCCAAGATGCTGCCTTTACTGCCCCCGCAGTTAATTTTACATCCTGTGAATGCAAATTCAACTGCGGGGGCAGTAACGGCAGCATATTGGGATTACCAGACACATTTTTGACATCCTAGATGCTAAAACAGCATATTATTTTTTTCGGTGTAGGTAAAATGCCAACTTAAGTTGTGAACTCAGGCTAAAATTTTCAGTAAAGGGGTTTCTCATTCCTGAGGCATCGTTCAGGCCCAATTTGAACAAAATTCCCAATAAGGGGCACAGAAAACCCCTTTTTTTGACAGGCTTTTCGACTCGAAAGTAGGGTTGAAGTTGACATGATTTTATCTTTAGCATGGGAACGAAATTTAATTATTTTTAACGACGTGATCGAGGCAAATATAAAAAGTCTCGAAGCGTACTCATACATTATACTCATACATACGCTATACAGTTGGGCTCCTGTGGCTGTTCGGCGTTGGCAGAAAAATTGTCGACGGTAGCGGGAGGTGGGAGGATGAAAAACTGAGAATTTGCGGGGGTCGTGGGGGCAGGGGG